TTCTCTTAATATGAATTTCTTCACATGGTATTAAAGAAAAAAAGTACGGATTATTTTTCTGCCCTCACAATTACATGAATAAACTCAGTCTAACCATTGGTGGTACAACCCCAAAAGTGGTAACAGTGGCAGCCACTGAAGAAGGCTTAGCCCCTGATTTTAGCCTTGTATAATTTTAACCTAATTGTTAGGTGGAAACATAATAATGATTAACAAATATAATTGCAAAATACTTTACTACTATAAAATGTTAGCAAACTAAATAATTTACCAAGCTAACTCAGATTAACTCTTCGTTCTCTCTGTTACACTATGTTCTTAGTTGCCTGCCCTCCTCCAACTCTTATCTCGGGCTTCTCTGTATGCTTTGGTACTATAAAACTTCTGCTTTTGGGTCACATTAGCCCTGTACTTCAAGGGCAATCCAGCTCTCCTTTTCTGCCCCAGCTCCTGCGCAAATGGATGAATTTCATAACAAAGTTCTAAGTGGCTTTCTTTTATTATTTTATTTTGAAAACATTTATAGAATGCTGTCTGTGTGTCATACTGTACTGCAGTAAATAGTAGTAATGATTTCCCAAGGTTGCTAACCTACAGAATCAGACAATAATTTCCAAATAGAGAGCAGGAGAATGTTCTGCCTTCCTTTGCAGTCTTATATCTTACTGATTTGAAAACACTTTCATTCTGCTGGATAAAGGTTCTGCTGCCATAAAGAACAGAAGGATAAAATGTGGTTCTTTATAGTTGCTGTTGTTGCTGTTAATCACCTATGGAGCACCCCCAAGTGATTCTGATTCACTGCTGGGCATCCGTATTTTTTTTTTTAAATCCTCTGGTTGATACTGATGCCCAGTCAAGGTTGAAAATCACTGTTCTACAGTGGGCATGGTTTTAGTGTCAAAAACTAAAGTTACTATTCACTTAAACAAGCTCTTTCTCTACTCCTACAATTCTAGTGTGAGACACCATATAGGTGTGCCTAGAGAACTGAAATAATCTCCTTAAATCATCTCGCTGTTTTTAGTCTCCTTTCTTCCCACTTTCTCATGTACATACAGCAGCCAGAGTAACCTTTTAAAAGCATAAATCCCAGATCAGATCGTGCCATAGACCTGCAAAACCTCTGATGGCTTCTTGTTGCATTTAGAACAAAAGCCCAACTTACTGTCCACTGAAAGGGCCTACATGATATACCCTCTGTCTGCTTTTCCAACTTCACTGCATACGGATTTCCTCTTCATTCACTCTACTCACTCCAGTTACATTGGTACTCTTTCTGATCTTGAACTGGCCAGGCTTTTTCTGCCTTGGGTCTAGACAGTTCCTTCTGCCTACTATGACAGTGGTCATGATGGAAGCTAACATATATTAAATGCTCCCTCTTAACCAGACACTGAAGTGTCTACATGTATTAATGCATGTAATACAACTTTGAGGTTGGTATTATTCATATTTCCATCTTACGATGAGAAAAGGCTCAGAGAGCTTAAGTAACTTGCTCAAGGTACTCAGGCTAACTCATCAATTCTCATGCAGAAGATATTAACCCCCAAATACTGTAATTTTCAGTTATTAGCTTAAACCTTTTATCACCCAAAAGCTATCACAGAAGTACATATCTAGGGCTCATGATTTTTGCCTTTAGTAGAACTGCTTCTACTAAATTATACTTTGGTGTTATGACATCATTCTATATTGAAAAATGGAAATCACACAGCCTTAACACTGTGAATGATTACTCTCCTTCTGAACAATTAATATGTTTTTATTCAAGGGAGAGGAGAATCATATAATTGATCACGTTTCATTGTTTTGGCCAGTAGGAAGCTCAGATTCAGAGTTGCAATGTACTTCCAATAAAATGTACAGGACTTTGTGGCGTTCAGGCAAAAGCCTTTTAAATTTCAACCTTGACACAACTCAGAAATTATTTTATTAGTCCCTAGTCACTCTCTTACTTACTCTCCCTAGTCACTCTCTGACTTACTTTTCATGGAACTCCTCAAGCTCCCTCCTTTTGTATATTCCTCATACTCTTGAGATTTAGTCTCCTACTTATAGAGAGAACAGAGCCGTCCCTAGTCACTCTCTTACTTACTTTTCATGGAACTCCTCAAGCTCCTTCCTTTTGTATATTCCTCATACTCTTGAGATTTAGTCTCCTACTTATAGAGAGAACAGAGCCTATCCTATTTCATCTCTTTTAACTTCTTTCTCCTTTTGAAACAAATCCCTACATTTATGCTCAGCATAATTTATTTCTTATCTTTCTTGCTTTTGAGAGAAATAAATTTGTCTATGAATTTCCCTCTAAGTGTTGCTTTAGCTGCAGTGCTCAAGTTTTTATAGTGATTTGTTCTCATTCAATTCTAAATATTTTCTAATTTACATTGTGATTTTTGTCCTCTCCACACCATGAATTACTAAGGAGTGTGTTTTTCAGTTACAAAAATTCATTTTGCTGCCCTTTTATTATCAACCTAAAACTTAATTGCACTCTAGACATAGAATATAGCCATCTGGGGATCAGTTTCCAGGTGTGTAGCATTTTCAAACCTTGTTTTATAAACTCTCCCTCAATTATTTTATCTACTACAGTTGCTTCATCTAATACTTCTATATGGATAACTATATAATTACGTATCTCTAGTGCATTTTTTTTCTTCTGAGCTTCAGGCCTATAGTTTCTATACACTTATCAAACTAGTTCTCTGTATGTCCCATAGGCATTTCTGCCTTAACAGATTCAAAACCAAAGAATTATTTCCAAATATCCTGAAGCTCCCCCTTCTCAACATCGTCCTTTTCCTCCTTTATTCTTTATTTTTAGAATAGTAATACATATTCTACCCAACTGTTTAAGCAAGAAATATTAAAATTGTCTTTTATTCCTCTCTCCCACAAATGGAATGAATTGAATGGTTCAAGTGCTATGAATTGTATTTCCTAATTCTCTCTTAAAGCCATCCTTGCCTCTCTGTTGTCACAGGACCTCATTATCAATCCCTTGCTCTACTGCATTATATCTCTAAATAGCCTTTAATTAGAATCCTTGTCCTCCCCGCCTCCTTCCCTTTTACCCTTCCCCTGCTACCACTCATGTCTAAAGCACAGCCTGATAATTCCATTTGCTTGCTTAGCAATCTTTGGTCCATGCTTACAAGAGAAGGCCTAAGTTTAGCATAACACATAAGACCCATTACCTGAGAAAATTCAGCCACTGGGAAAGTAGAAACTTTTCAAGCTTAATTCACTATTAGACATACTATTTTAAATTTCTGGACCTGCAATTCTATTAAAAGCCTAATGTTAAAAAGGATTTGGGTAAAAGTGCTGCCTTATGTATGGTTGCTTACGTACTACATTTTTATGATCAAGAAGAAGTTATGATCTTTGGATTAGGCCCTGTTCTGAAAAGAATCTTGTACCAGTTCCTGAGAGTGTACAGATTACATCTTTAGCCCCATGAAAAAATTTAATACAAGTAAAGGGGAAGAATGGGTACAGTCGGACAGTAGTGCAGATATCAAAACCAATGAGACAACATTTTGTATGTTGATTCCAAATCATAAAATTTCAAAAGAATCAAAGAAAAAAAAATCTTTGGAAGACCAAGTAGAAAGTGAAAACATGGTTCATGCATCCTTTAACCAAGCTTTATGAGAAAGAAGAAAATGACCCAAAACCATACTGATAGCAAAGAGGCAACATAGCCCTTCCTAAGGTATATCCCGTCCATAACTGTAGTTATAATAGAACAATTTACAGTCATAACAATAACCTTTACAGACAGTGGAAGCTAAATTAGATTCGGCATCCTCAGTAATGAGAAGACACAGGAAAGTTTTCATTAAAAATAATTAAGATAAAAGAATGTAGGCTCGTATAAAGAGATAAACTTACATTAATCTGAAGTTTTAATTACTCAGAATCATTTCTTTCTTCTAATAATGATGACATCAATATACTACTGTGTTTTACTTTTTATTACCTCCCTGTCAATAAAACTAGTACAATGTAGGTTTCTAGATTTTTGAGCTATCAATATATAATATATTTTTTAACTAGACAATAAATAAGAATAAGCATTTGCTAAAAAAGTCAGCTAACCTGAACTGAACGACAGCTGTGGATCAGGAAATATATTTATGGTTTACAAAGAAAGGGAGAAAGCATTAGTACAGTACTATTCCTAGAAACTGTGCCTATTGCTTGATACTATGGGGACTTTATTGCTAGGATTTATTTATTCTGAAGCCAAATTCATTTTCTCAGCTTTACTGCTGCATCTATGACTCTAAATTAGATGTGTATGGGTATTTTTGTGTGCGTATAGGTACATACACACACACACACACATATATTTTGGTATATATTTCTGAAACGAAAGTAAGTTTCAGAAGCTTTATCTCCATGTAGTATATTTATATGACTTATATGACTCAAAAAAGCCCAAATGTTATATCTCAGAAACTTATGTTCTATGTAGACCTTCAGAAAAGAAAGCCACTCTATATCAAGCATTAATCAAAATCAAAATTTTAAACAGTATATGAACAAATTTAATATATGTAGTACTGATTTACTTATATTTATTCTAGAATATGAGATCCAAATGATATATGCATATAACAAGAATTAGAAGCACTGTGCATTAACAATTCAGTGGAGTTTATGTCCTGAAATTTCATTTCTAGCCCCAAGTATATGTTATATTAATAACTATTAACTATTATGTTGTTGTGCAAAATACATAAATCAGCTGTGATCTAATCAGGAGGAAATGTGGTTAATACCTTCTTCTGTTTTCTTAGGCTCACTGTTGTATTCCTCCTAACATAACAGAAAAAAATTTAGTCCAAACTATTTACACAGATACATACTTTAGAGAGAATCTTTCTTAAGCCTGATATGTAAAAACATGTTTTACCAATGAAGCTTAATTTCTACCATTTTTGTTTCATTTCAAATTTATTATCTTTCCACCAATATTTTACCTCTGGTCCTGGAGGGCCAGATGGTCCACGGAGTCCTGGGTCACCTGGTTGGCCCTATAATGGAGGGTGGGGGGAGAGAATGAAGGTATAAATATTAACTTGATACAATTAAAAGAGAAAATAGGCCTATGGTAATCAAACAGCACTCAATATATTATGTCACACAAAGTTGTAATGACTTTTTAGAGACTTAATTTATAACCATCATCACTGTGAAACTTATTTAAATAAAATGTTTATGGATGTAATATATATTTACTCATGTTACAGATATAAACAAACTAATGAGTGAAGTACTCAAATCAACAAAAACTTGTATAATATGTATGTGTGATTTCTAGAGATAAGACAATAAAACTTAACTCAACAAGGTAGGGAACTCTAGATGAGGAACTGCTTTTATAAATAACTAGAGTCCTAGGACTGTCTCTGAAAATTCCTTGTCACTAAGCACAGTGCCTGGCACATGGAAAGTACTCATTAAGTGTTAGTCAATTTTAAAACCATTAATCCTTCTTTTCACACCTTTGCTCCTCTCCTGGCTGATACCTATAATTCCTAGATTGTTTTGATCCTTTAATTGACGTTTTGAGGATTCAGTTTCAACATCTCTGAAGCCCATTTCTGACATTCATACTAAAGAAGTGAAATCAGGGCTGGAGAGAAAGGTGAGAGGAGAGAGAAGTGGGTAAAAACCCTGAAACCAGAAAAGGCTGGCAATGTTCTCGAGGGATGGAATTACAGAACAGGGAAGGCCATGAGTCTGATGATACCCTTGTTTTTATAAGAAAAACTATTGAATTCATTATTTCTGTCATACTGAGCTTCTATATGAGCTTCAAATTTGATTTAAGTAGGCTTCAGATCACATAAAATTGCAAGATACAATACAGAATTATTAATTTTCCAAGAACTAAAGCATAGTTTCTATATATTCTAAATCCATTCTCAATGCTGAGGTTTCTGGACGTAAAGCAGGACACAATACAACTACAGCAGTAAAATCTAGAGAAAGGTAATGAAACACTGTGAAAATTCTCATGTAAGTTCTGCCTGACAAATAAAAACAAAAACTGTGATCCATCAGACTTAGTATTAAGAGAGCCTTAAATTCTTAAAATGACAAGCACCTCTCTTAAAGAGAGATGGGGTTCTCACTGGGGCCCTCTAGTGGCAACATCCATCCAAGAAGCTAAATTTACAAGCAGCAAGGGAAAAGAGCATACCCTAGGCCTTCATTTTCAGAGAAGTTGACTGACAACCAGATATTTAAAAATATAAATTGTAGAATAATTCTATTCATTCTTCATTTTGTAAAACTTCAATTGCAAATTTCCTGTGAATGTCTATTTTTCTTTACAAAAACTGAGTTTTCAAGTAAATTTTAGAGAATTAATATTAAGTAAACCTCTATAAATTACAGAAACCTCTAGTTAAAAAATGGAAAGGACATAATAATTGTCTGTTTTCTCTGTATCAAGGAAAGAGTATTTTGTAACAACTTCAGAATGGTAGCTTTCCCTATTTTTTGAAAACTTGCAAAGCAAAAGCTTCCTTGTTCTGGAATGTAAACACCTTCCAGATCAGATCAGGACATTCTTTTTTATATCTTGAAAATACTCTTTCATATTACAACTTAGATCCATTTGGAAATAATATTAGTAATACTAAAATCTTAGATGACAGAAAACTACAAGTAGGACATATAAAATAGGAAAGACATCCTTATGACTTTAGCATTCTTTCTATGACAGTAAATAAAATATTTTATGTAATTACTAACATGTATAATTGAGTGTGGGAGTTTGTTTCTTAATACAATGACATTGTGTGTAAGCAACTTTTCATCAAACAGGTGTCTCCTTCCATAACAAGGAAGGTTTCCAGGTCAAACATCTACAATTTCATCTATTAATAAGAATATAAACAAGCAATAAATAAAGTGAGACTAAAGACAAGGCCATCTCACTGGCATTAAGTCATGAGTCCCTATCTTATCTTCAGACCGAAGTATATATTTCTCAAAGATTTGATAAAACAAACAAAACATGGTCAATTATCTCTCTACCAAAGAAATTCCTGCTGACATTACTTTTTTTAGTAGCATAGTATAGAAAGGCATAAAATGAGCAAGTAAAAGCACTATTTTTTGCTCCTTGTCCTGAAAGAACCCCATTAGCATTTTTTTGTAATTTATTTCAGGAAAAAAAAAATACTAGGAATTTTAAGGCAATGTATTAAGGGTGAAACAGGCTCTCTGTATTTTCTTTAGCTTAGGCTAGAGAAATATTGCTAAGTACTATTATTAAAAGAGAAAAATATCATACAGTCACAGAGCTACAAAGAACCTTAAGCATCATATAGTCTGACTGTCATTTTAAACATGAAAAACTAGATACTACGATGGTTAAATGCCCGAGGTCATAGCAGGTCAAGTGTGTCAGAGCAAGGACAAGAATCTAGGTTTTTGTCTTCTGAACCAGTGATTTTTTTTTTTTTCCACATAAACATGTTATCAGTATAAATTGAATACAAGAGTATGGAGCATTAAAATGGTTTGCCTTATGTAAGCATATCTGACTTTAGTTTCCTCAAGAAATTAATTATAAAGCATACGAGAATAATATTGATATTTATTAATTAGTATTGGCCCTTGATAATGTGTTGAATCATTTCCTCTTATTATTATTATCAAAGGTTTATTAAACACATCATAAAAAAATGAAGATATAAAAAGGTAGAGTCTTACTTTGCCAATCACTGCAGATATCAGAAATCCCTGTTATATGGTTTAGAATCATCTTTGAAAAACAGAAGCTGTTCATTAGCTTCATGACCTATTCTCATGACCTTTTTTATGCATTTTGGAGTTTCTGAGATTCAACTCCAGGGCACAAGTGTGGGTAGACTGCTGCCTGGATTAACTACCATAAATCCAGAATGAAAAGCTAATAAAAGCAAAAGTCACCACCAACATGTCATCAAACAAATAGATGCCAAAAATTGTTCTTTGGATTAAATAATTCCTGAGAAATATATGTAAAATGCTATCACTGTTACAAGCCACAAAGAACAGGGTAGATAAAGTTCTGCAATTTAATACTATTTCCTGAGATGCAAAAATAAATAACCCTGAGATGGAAGGGTAAAGTTCAAGGGAACATGATAAATTGCTCAGGAAAACAACACTTTATTTTCAATATATATTTTAATATTGTACTAACAAATTATAATTAAATATCTAATTTTTTCTATCTATAATCATCTTCACCTTTACAGAGCTATAATCAATATTAAAATCCTAAAACTATTTTGAAATATTAACTAAATATTATTATAACTTCATAGGATTTTTACAAGGATTAAATTAGATGTACAGCCCTTAGAATACTGCCTGGCACTTTATAAACACTCAGTAAATGTTAGCTACAAGAATTATTATAATTTTTAATATTCAGAGATATACTTTTGAGTCATGTTTTAATCATTTTATTTAGATGATTTTAACTATTAAGTAATTTAGTTTTATAATTTGTTTGGTTTAATGCTAATTACAATATATGGTATCTTTTTCTCTAACTAATTGATGCCCAAGGATTAGAGAGAAGACAAGAAACTAGAATATCTGAGCCCACAACAGTGTGTGACATGCTATCTTTTCTTCAGAATGTTTCCTTAATGAAACTGATATTTGAAAAAACTAAAATATTATTTTAGATGCTATATATCTTCTGGCTTAAAAGCCCATTGTTTAATTCAAATACTGTCTATAGTAGATCATTCAGAGAAATAATATAACCAAGATCTTTAGGGCTCAGAGAAACTTGGCTTTGGCCTGGGATTGGGGTGGGCGGAGGTTTAACAGTTTATGGAATGTGAGCTGAATACTTGAGGGATTAGCTATATTCTAAAACTGAAGAGAGAAAATGCAAGACTGGTAGGTTTATATCCCACTTCTTATATCCTATTAGCAGACACATATCAAGACTCATGCCACAGCATAAAAATAATCTGATTAAAAAGATGGGCAAGGGCCGGCCCGGTGGCGCACTGGAGAGTGCGCCGCTTGGGAGGGCGGTGTCGCTCCCGCCGAGGGTTCGGATCCCATGTGGAGACTGGTTCCCGATCACTGGCTGAGCATGGTGCGGGCATGACGCCGAGGGTTGCGATCCCGTTACCGGTCAGTAAAAAAAGACAAAAAGGAAAAAAAAAAAAAAAAGATGGGAAAATGACCTGACTAGACATTTCTCAAAAGAAGTCATACAAGTGGCCAATAGGTATATGAAAAAATGCTAAAGGTCACCAGTCATCAGGGAAATGCAAATCAAAACCACAATGAGATACCATCTCACTCCAGAATGAGATGAATGAATAGAATGGCCATTATCAAAAAGACAAAAAGGAAATGCTGGCAAGGATGCAGAGAAAAGAGAACTCCTATAAAGTGTTGGTGGGAATGTAAATTACAATAGCCATTATGGAAAACAGTATGGAGAGTCCTCAAAAAAACTAAAAATAGAACTACCAAATAATCCAGCAGTCCTACTGCTGGGTATTTATGCAAAAGAAATTAAGTTACCATACTGAAAAGATATCTGCACCCCATGTTTATTGCAGCACTATTCACAACAGCCAAGATATGGAATCAAACAGATGTCCATCAACAGATGAATGGATTCAAAAAAATGTGGAAAATATACACAATGGAATACTACTCGGCCATAAAAAAGAATGAAATCCTGTCAGTTGTGTTAACATAGATGAGCCTGGAAGACATTATGTCTAGTGAAATAAGTCAGGTATGGAAGGATGAATACCACATATTCTCACTCATATGTGGGAGCTAAAAAAAAAAGTTGAGCTTATAGAAGTGGTGAGTAGAATTGCAGTTATTAGAGGCTAGGTCGGGGAGGGTGTGGGCAGGTAGAGGTTGGTTAATGGATACAAAAATCACAGCTAGATAGTTCAAGTAAGTTCTAGTGTCTACAGTAGTACTAGGCATTTATAATTAACAATAACTTATTGTATGTTCTCAATTGGCTAGAAGGGAGACGCTCAAATGTTCTCATCACAAAAAAGTGATAAATTTTTGCAATGACGATTATGCTAATTACTTTGATTTGATCATCACACATTGTATACATGTATTGAAATATAACACTGCACCCCATATTTATAATCAATACATGTCAATTAAAAATTAATTGATTAATTGATTAATTAATTAATTGAACTCATGCCACGGCATGCACTCTGTTAATCAGAAAGAACAAAGCAAAAGTTCAAACTTACTGAAGGTCCTGGCTTTCCTCTCATCCCTGGTGGTCCTGGCAAACCAACAGCACCCTAAAAGAAAAGAATAGTAGAGGGAAGAAAAAGCTATTATACCACAAAAGGCAGAAATACCTGTATTTACAAACCACTAAAAAAATTTATGGAAATATTTCAAAAAAATTGAATAAAAATTTGTTTAAGAATTTAAAACCATATTGATACTATATCTCAAAAAAATACATGTTTAATTTATACTTTTTTATATTTACATAAAATTAGTGGTAGAAAGTTACCTTGTCTCCAGGATACCCTGGTTCTCCTGGCTCTCCTGCAATGCCTTGTTCACCCTAGAGAGCACAATTTCATACAAAGACACTTATGCATCACAAACATGGCAATATTATTACAAAAAAAATATTAAGTATGAAGAATAATATCTCTAGTTTTCCTTCTTCTGAGAAAAATTAATATAATTGATAGTACAAATTAAAACTCATAGATAAAAGCAAAATATCTTATATGTTATGTTGACCCAAAAGAAAGAAAAAGATAAATGTGATAAGAAATTATCTCTATGACAATGTTAATATTTAAATCACCTTATCACCTTTGATTCCAGGTAGTCCCTTATTCCCGGAAAGTCCCTTAAAAAAAAAAAGTGATATTTTGTGATATGATAGAGAATTTAAGGGGAAAATATCCATTATGCAAACAGAACCCTACCATAGGGCCAGGAATTCCAGAAGGTCCAATTAGTCCCACAGGGCCAACACTTCCCTGAAAACAATGAGAAGGAAAGGCATCATTAAGCATTCACTAGGATTAGGAAGAGAATGTGGTACAATCAATTAATAAATTAATGAACCCAGAACAGTTTATCTCTCAAAGCTCTCACACATGCCTTGTTCTTCAACAACATTTTTTCCTCTCCACATTTAAAAATCATACCAATTTTTCAAAATTTAATGAAGAACATCCAATTTCCTAAAACTTTCTCATACTGGTCTGGTCCACAAGGATCATTCTCTCCTCTGAGCTCTTATATTACTTAATGGCCATGATATTCATCTTGCAATATTTCTCCAGCTAGCCGACATCTTAAAGGAATATTTTAATGCCACGTTCCCAGGAAGTATTCAAAAAATACTTCGCTGACTGCCTTAGATTTTCATTTCATCCACTTACTCAGCAAATATTTATTGAGCAGTTACTATGTGCCAGGCATTCCAATGATTTGATTTTATGATTTGAAATTTGCGGAATGACAAAATTTACCATAATTTCAGGGACAAACTGAGCAGCGAACAAAAGGCTGTACTCTTGTGGGCTTATCTCATTTATTCCTCATTTAATACTTGTGGAACATAATATGTACCAAACACTGTAGCAGTGTTGAAGAAGCAAAGAGGAAAAAGACATATTCTCTAAAGTGAAGGTTCTCAACTCAATGTGCAAATTCCTCAAAAAACATAACTATCACTATGGTGTCCTGAAAAAAAGAGACTTAGAAAAATGAATGTGTCATCTTAGAAGACAAAGGACAAGAGCAACAATAAGGGTATTTGAAAGAAAAATTCAAAAAAAATTTGGGCATCTCTTGATGGTTTGGGGATCAGTTATAATTTCTGTGTCACCGATGCTCCATTTTCCTTCTTCTCACTACATCTCTGAGTCTGGCTTCCATATTATTCTTCATCCTAGAAGACCAAGTTGGTTCAACCCTCTCTTTTATGGTTTCCAAATGTTAAGGAACTTTAAAAGTTGTATTTTTGAAATGGTGAAAATACTGTCTCTTTTAGTTAAAATCCAAATATCTTATGACAGCATTTCAGGCCCTCTCTATCACCAGCCTTTTCAGTCTCCTCTCCTTCCATTTGTCTTTACTCCTCACCCTTTACTTCTCCGTTCTCCCAAATCTTATATTCTAGCCACAAGGGACTGTTTTCCATTCTCCTTTTTTTCTTTTTTAAAAATTTTTATTTTTTTTAAATTTTGTCAATATATAATGTGGTTGATTATTATAACCCATCACCAAAACCTCCCTCCCTCCTCCCTCTCCCCCTCCCACCCAAGAATGTCCTTTCCGTTTGCTTGTTGTAACACCTTCAAAGAAATTGTACTTGTTATATCTTCTCTTAACATGCTCTCCCTTATCACAAGGCTCCAAGCCTTTGAAGATACAGTTACCAGAACTGTAATGCTCTTCTACTACATTACTTACTGTACTTTTTTTCCTGTCTTCCTAGTTTGTGCATTCTGTTAGAGCAGAAGCATGTTTCATTTATATTTTATTTCCCAGACCCAATATAATAACTGGTACATAATAGTTTTGAAATAAAGTGTGGAGTGAATATTAAAATAATTAATTACATCAAACAATAAAATTTAAAACAGTGATTTCTAGAGCTCTATTTCCCAATACAACAGAAAATTTCTAATTATCTATAATATAAATTTCAGAATGGAAAATATGACATTTTCACTTTTTGGTAAGTCTTAAAGTCTGTGAAATATAACTAACATAAATTATTTCCAACATATGTAATCCTGAAATATGTAGGACTGTTAGAAGCAAAGAGTAATATTTTCCAACTTAATAAATATGCAATGTTAATACATCATTGCTTGTTAATTTCAAGTTCTGTCAATAGGAAACAGTTATTCTTATGATTATAGTGGCTAGTTTATTCAACGTCATAGCTTTAAAATTCATAATAGGCTCAAAAATACAATAAATATCTCTATTTGGAAATTATGTGGAAATAATCCATGTAAGTATGGAAAGAAATGTCTTACAAACAAAAAAAATATCTTTCTTTGTGCCCTGTTGTTTTTTTCATAGACAATATTTTTTGTTTGTCTTTGGTGGCTAGTTGGTATGGGGATCCAAACCCTTGATCTTGGTGTTATAATAACATGCTCTAACCAACTGAGCTAACCGGCAGTCCTATAATATTCTTTTTTACTTTTATTTCAGTAAATATATTACTGTTCTTAATCTTTCATCTTCACATTATGTGCTTTGCATGCACAATATCCTATTTTATTTTTTAGTGACACTAAAACAAAAATCACAAAATAGTTAAGTATTGGGTGATATCAAAAAACATATACATGATAAAGGACTCAGTAAATAGAGGATTATAAAGTAAAAATTGAATGGTATAGTATAGAAATTTCCAAGAAACAGCAAGCATTTTGTGGCATGTCACAAATTGAATGGAAAATCCTAGTCCTGAAAATTTAAAGCCTTCTGAAAATGATTCATGATAGTTTAAGAGCAGTTTTCAGTTCCACAAAGGTAACCTGAAGGTCCTTCAGCATTCCCAGCCTACCACACTCCTCTTCTATGAGAAGATGGAACAGTCAGAAGAAATATTTTAATTCATGGGAGCTTAGTTGAAGGTGTCTCGGAGGTAGCACCAGAGGCAGAAGAGCCTCCCACAGATCTATAAATAGTAGAGAACTTCTGAGTTAAAGTAAGTCAAAGAGATAGAGATACCAAAGGATACGGTCTTTGTAGTAAAAACAGTAGCCTCTGGACAATTAATAAGAGTTCCTATGAGTATACTGCGGAAAGGACTGTGAGTTCCACATTGGGCTTTCCAACCATATTCACAGGTGATAATTACTGTCACTAGTGTAATAAAGAAAGGAAATGACAATAACAACCAACTGCATGGAAAAAATAATTTAGATAAAGCAATAGCATCTCTTGTCAGAAACTGCACTTGCTGGAAGGAACACCTGAGAGATAAAGCAGAGTCTGCAGCTCTGGGAAAGGAATCAGACTGATTACTATGAAATACAAAAGTTCTTCATATCCTTCCCAATTACTTTCCAAACCTCACATTCTTCCATTCTTTTCCCAACCCCCCATACTTCCTATGCTACAATCCCACTACTCCTCTTTCCATTTCCCAAACATTCATTTTCCTCCTATACTCTGTATTTGAACACAGCATTTTTCTGCCTAATGAGCCCTTTCCCCTTTTCCACCCAACCCTACTCATACATAATCTTTAAGACTCAGCTTAAAAAAAAGTCTCAGGCTGGCCTGTTAGCTCAGTTGGTTAGAGTGCGGTGTTAGAACACCAAGCTCAAGAGTTCAGATCCCTGTACTGGCCAGCCACCCCCCAAAAAACAAAACAAAACAAAACACAATTCCTTTATGACTCTGAGATAACACAAATTGCTCCTTNATGGGGATCCAAACCCTTGATCTTGGTGTTATAATAACATGCTCTAACCAACTGAGCTAACCGGCAGTCCTATAATATTCTTTTTTACTTTTATTTCAGTAAATATATTACTGTTCTTAATCTTTCATCTTCACATTATGTGCTTTGCATGCACAATATCCTATTTTATTTTTTAGTGACACTAAAACAAAAATCACAAAATAGTTAAGTATTGGGTGATATCAAAAAACATATACATGATAAAGGACTCAGTAAATAGAGGATTATAAAGTAAAAATTGAATGGTATAGTATAGAAATTTCCAAGAAACAGCAAGCATTTTGTGGCATGTCACAAATTGAATGGAAAATCCTAGTCCTGAAAATTTAAAGCCTTCTGAAAATGATTCATGATAGTTTAAGAGCAGTTTTCAGTTCCACAAAGGTAACCTGAAGGTCCTTCAGCATTCCCAGCCTACCACACTCCTCTTCTATGAGAAGATGGAACAGTCAGAAGAAATATTTTAATTCATGGGAGCTTAGTTGAAGGTGTCTCGGAGGTAGCACCAGAGGCAGAAGAGCCTCCCACAGATCTATAAATAGTAGAGAACTTCTGAGTTAAAGTAAGTCAAAGAGATAGAGATACCAAAGGATACGGTCTTTGTAGTAAAAACAGTAGCCTCTGGACAATTAATAAGAGTTCCTATGAGTATACTGCGGAAAGGACTGTGAGTTCCACATTGGGCTTTCCAACCATATTCACAGGTGATAATTACTGTCACTAGTGTAATAAAGAAAGGAAATGACAATAACAACCAACTGCATGGAAAAAATAATTTAGATAAAGCAATAGCATCTCTTGTCAGAAACTGCACTTGCTGGAAGGAACACCTGAGAGATAAAGCAGAGTCTGCAGCTCTGGGAAAGGAATCAGACTGATTACTATGAAATACAAAAGTTCTTCATATCCTTCCCAATTACTTTCCAAACCTCACATTCTTCCATTCTTTTCCCAACCCCCCATACTTCCTATGCTACAATCCCACTACTCCTCTTTCCATTTCCCAAACATTCATTTTCCTCCTATACTCTGTATTTGAACACAGCATTTTTCTGCCTAATGAGCCCTTTCCCCTTTTCCACCCAACCCTACTCATACATAATCTTTAAGACTCAGCTTAAAAAAAGTCTCAGGCTGGCCTGTTAGCTCAGTTGGTTAGAGTGCGGTGTTAGAACACCAAGCTCAAGAGTTCAGATCCCTGTACTGGCCAGCCACCCCCCAATAGAGTGCGGTGTTAGAACACCAAGCTCAAGAGTTCAGATCCCTGTACTGGCCAGCCACCCCTCAAAAAACAAAACAAAACAAAACAAAACACAATTCCTTTATGACTCTGAGATAACACAAATTGCTCCTTTTTCCGTGCCTTTATAGTTAGTGCCTTATAGCAGTAATCACAATGTATGACATTTTTTATTTTTCCTTTTATGCCATTAGATCATAATGTTGCCAAAAACAGGAATCTTAATTTGTTTGTGTTTTTAGGCCTAGCATCTAGTCCAGGGCTTGATATATAGTAGGTGCTCACATTGTTTTGAT